AACCCTGAACTGGGCACCTGGTGTGGGACAGGGACCCCTCAGTCCTCAGGGAGGACCCTCACAACTGAGGTACCCCTCCTGATTTTTATTCACCACAGGTGGATGTGGGACCAGCTCATCCTGCCTCTGCCCCTTCTACCAGTCTCCATGCAACTTCTTCCTTAATTTTGTAGTTGTAGGACTTCCATTCTGCTTGATTTCAGGCAGTTTTGAATGATGGTTGTTCTGTAGTTTAGTTGTAACTTTGATGTGGTTGTGGGAGGATGTGATACTGTGTTTACCTATGCCGCTATCTTGACCAGAGGTCGAGAACAACTTTTGGGAACAACAGTTCTCAAGCTCTGGCATGAATCAGGACCACATAGGAAGCTTGTAAAAAATTCAAATGTCACCTTACGTGGCAAGGCTTAGAAAGAAATCAGAATCATTAGGGTTAGAGCTGCCCAAGTATCTTGGTTATGAGGATTGACCTGCAAACCTGTTCTAAGCTGCTTCTGTTCTTGGTTGCCACAGGGCAGGTAGGCAGGAAAGAATTTTTAAGTTCAGAAGGTGAAGTCTGTTCCAGCTGTGAGTTTTTCCTTACTGCTAATCCTGATGACCTGTGTGCCCCTCTGTCATATTCTAACTCACTGGAATTCCAGATGCATTGCTAAAATAATTCCTGTTACCTTCTTACTGGATCTGTTTGTTTTGGTTCTAATGTTGCCATCACTATTGGAGTAAGAATGGAAAATAATTACTACACTCTGGGTGAGCACCCACAGGGATGATGGGACTGGACCAGCCATGAAAGAGTAAACAGTCACTAAGGCCAAAGCCACTTTCGGGCAGTCCCCCACATGTGCAGCACCAGTGTCCCTAGTCTCTAGTCCGTTCCTGTTACAGACAGCACTGACAATGGCATTGTTTCCCAAACTGATCGACACTTGCAGAATGCATCAGATTTAGCATGAGAGACTCAATTTATTTGGTTTCCAAATCTTAGGAATCATAAGAAAGTAGAGAAGTAAAAAAAAGGTAAAATGAAGGCAAAGAAGAAAAAGTTCACAATGGCGGCAGAGTGAATGGAAGCTACACAGACCATCTCCCAGGACCAAACTGGAATTACAACTTAAATAAAGACAAATCGTCAAAAAAAAAAAAAAAAAAAAAAAAAAGCAACAGAAGAGCAGCTTGTGAGGATCATATAATCAGGGACACTGACTTGATCCTGGTAGGATAGCAGAGGCGTGAGAGGGGGGCTGGGAGCCCACAGACAGCAGCGGCCTTAGCTGTGAGCAGTGCCCTTGGGTTAAACTCCCAAGCAGCTCTACAGCCCAGAGCCGGGAATAGCCATAGCCACTCATCTGGGGCTCTGGCAGAAGGAGGGCGACTGGACTGGAACTGTGTGGGGACACTCGGGATTTGGAGGGCACTCAGAGTTTTTGCTGAGCTGCAGCCACGCAGGACGGTGGCCATCTTACTCCTTTCCAGGGCTCTGGAGAGAGGTGGTGGCCCCTCCCTCAGAGATTGAATCCCACCCAGGTGGGCCATTGAAATGCAAATTGAGGCTTATTAACAACCAGCATCTGCCCCACCCTCGGGAAATCCCCTTACACTAAGCACCTGAGGGAGTTTTTCATTCAACTGAGGACCCAAGGCACTTCAAGTAACCACTACTGATAGCCTCTAAGCTAAAAGCTAGAGGATAACTGAACCATTCCTGGGCTAGCAACTCTAACCGGGAAAGTAAGACTTGACCGTGGTGTTTAACGTGGGTCCTCCCTTGCTCATCCAAACCCAGGAGAGGGAGCCACAAACAGCAGAACACCAACACCTACAGGGAAAATTTGGCAGGCTCCAAAGCCCACTGTGATAGCCAAAATGGTGAAACAAAGAAACAAAAGCCAAATGAAAGAACAAGAGACCTCTACCGAAGATGAGATAAATGTAGAGCAGTTAAGCAAGTTAACATAGCTAGAATTCAGAGCCATGATCTTGAAGAAGCTCAACAGCATGAGTAAAGACATCAACACCATAAGTAAAGACATAGAAATGTTGAAAATCAACCAATTGGAAATTTATTTTATTTTATTTTATTTTTTAATCCTCATCCGAGGACATTTTTCCATTTTTTTTTTGTACAGAGTGGGAGGGAGAGAGAGGAAGAGAGAGAGATGGAAACATCGATGTGAAAGGGACACATCGAGTGGCTGCCACCCGCACGACCAACCAGGGCCGGGGACAAACTGCAACCGAGGTACATGCCCTTAGCGGGAACCGAACCTGGGTCTCTCTTGACCGCAGGCGGACGCTCTAACCGCTGAGCCAAACCGGCCAGGGCCCAATTGGAAATTTAAAAACACCACGAAGAAATCAAGAATGATTTATCAGAAATAAAGAACACATTGGAAGGTCTAAACAGCAGAGTAGAGGAAGCTGAGGACTGAATCAGTGAATTAGGAGACAGGGTAGAAAAAAATCAACCAATAAGAAAACCAAAAGGAAAAAACAATTACAAAACAGGAAGACAGCTTAAGAGAACTGTGGGACAACTGGAAACGTAATAATATTCACATCATAGGAGTCCCGAAAGAGGAAGAAAATGAGCAAGGGTTAGAGAATATATTTGAAGAAATAGTGACAGAAAACTTCCCTAATCTGGAGAAGGAAGAAGGCATTCAAGTTCAAGAAGCACAGAGAGCCCCAACTAAAGAATCCAAGCAGGCCCACACCAAGACACATAGTAATTAAAATGCCAAAAAGTAAAATGAAGGCAAAGAAAAGGTTGAAAAGAATATTGGAATATCTTTTCAGGGAAAGTTTCTAGAAATATAATGAGTTCTACTTTGTTTCAAAATAAAGTATGAACAGTATTTATTTAATTACTTCATTATTTATTTATAATGTATTCATTTGACTTATTTAAGTAGGTTAAATATTATTTCCTGAACTGCATATTTATTAAGAGGTCATCAGTAAATATTAATCTCCAAACCAAAACTACATACTATAACAGATTTAATTATTAACTGACCACATGATTATATTTACCATTAGCATTTATTAAAGAATTTATATTATGTGAAAACATGAGAAAGTCAACTAAATTATAGAGTGAAATTCTTTCTCTATAGCATATTTGAACAATATATTATTCTCAGTTACCAGTGATTCAGAAGTTCCTACAGATGTTGGAATGAAGGAGTGCTAGTAATTTGGGTTTTTATTATTTGGACCTTGAATAAGGTGAAGGTTTGTTGTGCTGATGTGAAAAATATCATGTGCCTATTTGGTTGAATAGTCTCTCACTGGCTTATTTTGATGTGGGAATGAAAATATCTCCTTTTTTTTCTCCTGGGGAAAGAGTGATGACTGAATTTGTTTCTGTGTCATGTAACTAATATGTTAAGCCAATGAAATATGCAGCCTATTACTCTTTCCTGATATTTCTTTCGGTATCACCATTATTTTTATGAAAATGCATTTGCTACTTCTTGAGCTGTTAACATTTGAGAATGTAAAGGTGTCTGCTCAAGCTAAAGTATCATCCATTACAAATCCAAAAAGAGTACACACTAAGCACTTTTGCAAATGTGCGTATTGAATGTTCTTGTTCACTGTTGGTCAGTGGGCGCAGTCCCTCCCTATCCCAAGTAACTCAATGAACAATTTGCCTGTCTATACCTAAAAGGCAAGAGTTCTGGGTTGTTCCCCAACCCCCACCCCCTTGGCAGAAATACTTCGGAATTTTAAACAACTAAATATCAAGTGACTTATGTTCTTCTTACCCTTTCATGGAAATGTCAAGCATTCATATTTTCAATACTAATAAACAACCACCAATTGTTTTCATTTTATTATTTTCTCATCTGAAAGAGTGCTTACAGAGCACAGAAATAGCTGCTTTCTTTTTATAGATCTCACTGGTGAGCCTGAAAAAAGTGTAGGTTGAAAGACAAACAAAAAACCTCAGATGTTTTCCTCCTGAATATAATTCTCCTGATTAAGCTAGTCTTCTTCACCCCTCAGCTGAAAAAATAGGCCCCAAAGTGAGGATTCAAAACCCAGGACTTGCAAGGGCCCCAGGAGGTCACTCAAGTCATTTGCTTATCCATCAGCAGGACTGAATTGCATTTCCTTGGTCAGAAATCTACCTACTCTTAAAAATAGCCAGAGAAAGTTCTGCCACCCTAAATCGTAACCAATTCTAGGAGAGGTGGTTTGGCTTTCTCTCCAGTACCCAGGCACAGCACAAAACCTAGATTACGCTCATTTTAAAATTCAATTTCAATAGTGTGATTTGCTGAACAAACACTCCCACTGACTTGCTATTCACAAGAATGTTAATAAAGATTTTGAAAATAACATTTGCCCTTTTCACAATACATTTCTGCTTTATTTCACTGAATGACGTACTGTAGATTTGAATGAGTAAATGTGTCTTCCAAAGGATGTAACTTTCTTCCTTGATTCTAAGTGATAATTTAGTAATGGGAGAATGAGGTTGACTATGTGGTTCTAGCTCTGGTATTAGAAGATGAGAGTGAGCCAGATATGACCCTCAGCTCATGTAGGTTTGTCTGGAAAGTGTGGCGGGGGGCACATGCCATGCAGACACGTGATCTGATGCTACAAAAGGGCTCAGGGGCCCTGTCAGGGCTGCAGAGGGCTGGCACGTGCCAGACCTTGTTCTAGAGGGTGAATTCTCTGACTGCAGCTCCCAGTGCTCGTGGCTCCCTGACGCATGAAAAATACAGCAGGGAATGCCTTTTCCTGAGAGGTCTCCATGTCACCTGAGCTTTCTTCTGGAAGTTGTGTGACTGTATTGTTCAGGGCCTTCCCTTCCAGGGAATCAAGGAAAGAAATAGGCTTGTAATCATATAAACATTGCTATCTCATACTCATTGTACCTAACATTCCTAATTTAGTCTAATTTTTAAAATTTTGTGTATGTAGAAGCCACATGGCTCATTGGCTCATATCTGTCTTCAGTGTGCTTGAGAGAATTGTGCACGTACCTATTCATCCTGTACTGATTATGGGACTCTCTTTCCTTCACTGCATTGTATTCATTTTGATACTTGAGAAGCTGCTCTCTCATTTTGGAGACCTCGGTGGAGAACACCTCTGGAAAGTTGTCAGCTTGCTGCAGGTGGTACTGCTGCTGTTGTATCTGCTCAGTGAAACGTTTGGCACTCTGGAGCAGCTGGACCTCCGATTCCTGTGTGCTATGTTCCACAAGAACAGAGAGGCACACAGTGAGTACACTCAGTGCGTGTTTTCTCCCAGAAAGGAGGTAGACAAGGCAGTTAGGGTTCCAGCCAGAACACAAATGGAAATTTAGCCACATGGACTTGAAATACAGTGTCAGCAGAGGAGAATTTAACAACTCTTATAACAGCTTCAATGGAAAACTCATTCAGTTTCAGTTCAGCATTTCCAGCCTATATCAGCCCTGCTACAGCCCCGGCAGCAAGAGTGAAATGTCTACTTCATCATGCCGTTCCCACCCACCTGGCAGTGGGAGTGGGAGTGGGAGTGGGAGTGGGAGGAGTGGTGGGTGTTTGTAATGACAGAAAGGAGAACTAAGTGGTCAAGAAGGGTTAAAATGTGGTTGGCAGAAAGAGAGTAATAGTTTTGCAACACAACTTGGAAGTAGGAAGAAATAACGCCATAGCCTTGGTCCTGCATTGTCTGTCACTGGGACCCAGGGAACTGAGCTGTGCGATAGGCAATGAGGAAGCCAGGCCAGCCCCCAGCAAGCCCTGCAGGGCTCTAGATTAGAGCTATCCAGAGCACGAGAAATGTTGCAATATTTCTTGTATCTGCAAAGAGGTTCAGAGGGATGCCTCCAAGAACTGCATGGAGTTTTCCCCAGCTAAGCAGTGTGAAGTGTGTTGGGAAAGATTACCCCAGACTTTCCACCTAAATTCTTAAGTTCCTGAGTCTTGAGAACTATATGTGCACACTGGTAGGCAGCCCTATTTGTGGGAAATGGAGGCTCCATTAGGGGTGAGGGTGAGGATTTAGCTTGGGAATGGAGAGGAGGATGAGGAGGAGCCAAAGCTCTGGACTGTGGTTATGGGCCTCGGTTGTGCAGAGTACATATGGGGTGGGGTGAAAGTTAAGGGTGTGGAGGGATGCAGCTCTGCTCACCTAGCCACTCACTCCTGCTCCCAACTTCAAAGTGGCCAAATGACTGAGCAAGAAAAAAAATAGGGATAATGGTTGGAGGCTGGAGGGGAGGATGGCTGAGGAATGGCAGGAGGGAGTTTCTATCCATTGCTGTCTCTCCTTGGTTCTTGATGGAGATGTCATGCAAAGCTGTGAAGCAGGAAGTGGAGGAAGAGAAGAAAGAAGTTTGGGAGTAGTGAGGAGCAGCGGCAGGACAGGATTTTCCCTTCTCTCTTCACGCTTCTTTCCCCTTGATTTCCAAGGGCTGACAGCAGGTGCTTAGGAAACCTAGTTGAGTTATTCTGAGAAAGCCTATTTTTCTGACTTGTTGCTGACTGGGACTAGGCTAAGGTGAGTAGCCTGGGGTAGGACAAAGAGGTGAGAAGTAAAGAACGAAGTCTCAGCAGATGTAGGCTGGGATTGTCATAGAACCTGTACCTTTGCGTGATGAAGAGAGGTGGGGAGAAGAATCCCCTCCCCCCCAGCAGGGTCCTGTAGCAGACAATGTCAGTGCCCCACCCAAATTGTCTCGGCCCACTCTGATATATATCAAGAGCACTGGTGTGCTTCTGCCTGAAAACTTTCTCTGGCCATAGGAGCTTGCTTGGCTTTTCAGAGGGCAAGCTAGGATGTGCCAGGAGCTCATCTTTCTAGGAGCAAGTTTTTATCAAAGAGGGATGGAAAATACCCGTTTCCTTGCCCATCGAAGGAAGAGTTCTGATGTGTGTTCTATACAGTCACACCGTGTTCTTAGTGGGACAGTCCCAGTTGTCCATAGTGTTAACCGGAAGATTAGCACATCCCCAGCTGGATTCCGCCCATTTCCGCTTCACTTCCCCACTCTCTGATGATACTTTCTGGTATTACTTCTCAAACTATTTGAGCTCAAATCCTTGCCTCAGGGTCTGCTTTTGGGGGGGGAGGGGAATGCAACATAAGATAGGCCCCATCACAGTAAGAAATATAAACGAGTGAAGATGTCTCCACATCAGTCAATAGCATACCTTACAACAGTATCATGCAGTGAGGTGTACTTGGCTTTTAATTCTGCCAGTCTGGTTCCAGCAAGTTTTCCCATAGCATGTAACTAGCAAAGAGAACACAGGGTCACTATTAACCACCATCTTCTTTATGCTTTAAGCAGAGATAACATGGATATATGGACAGCTTATAAAACCTTTCAGTTAAACACTAGAAACTGGAAGTTTGGAGAAAATGTTTGTAGTTCTATACTGCCTCCAGTAAGCTCTGCATCCCTGGGCAAGTCTTTTTCTTCTTTATATGAATACCGTGATTTCTTCATCTGTAAATTGAAGGAATGAACTGAGTTAAATTCCTCTAACTCTAAAAAACAACAACCTGGATGGTGTAGATTACTAGGACGGCTATTTGTATGTTGAGAGAATAATTATTGAGCATGTATTATGAGTAAGTGTTGTACATCAGTTATTTTATTCTAAAAAATGTTTTGTGAAGTAGGTATTATCTCCATTTTAAACAAACATTTAGAAAAGGTAAGTTGTTCGAAGGTACAGTTAGTTAAAGGCAGAATCAGGATGAGAACCTGAGTGGCTCAGCTTCAAAATTCCACGTTCACATCTTGTACCACAAAGCCTCTGCCTCTACTGTCAAAGGAACATGAAAGCCTATTTGGTACAGAAAGCAATGTTATTTGTTCCTTTTTCATTTCTGATAAAAGCACTTTTGATTTACTCTCTAAGTTAGGTGATAAGTAGCTAATAGACATCATAACACAACATCAAACACTGAAGTTTTACCATAATGCTGAACATTTTGTATTAGGTTTGACTTGAACTGAACTGTTAGTGACATCGTATTGAAAAATAGAATTAAGAAAAAGATTTGTGTTTTTTAGTGCCAGGTTGTTCTTAACTATAAAATGTTTCTTGAATCTGTACATGTTCCTCTCCCGTCCCTGATCTCACTAGTGTAAGTCACACCACCTGTCAGGTGGACTACTGCAGAACCTGTGCTGTGCTCCCTCCATCACGGTCCACCTACTTTCCACGAAGGCCTTTTAAAAAATCAGACAAAGTCTTGTTATGCTGGCTGATCAAAACTCTTTAAGTGAAATAGAATTCAAGATCCTTGAAATGACCCTTACGGTCCTGTATGACCTGCCACCCTCCCAACTTCTTTCACAACAGCCTCCCCACCTCACAGTGCCCCAGCTGTAGGAGCTGCCTTTCATTTCCATAAACACATGACTCTCTTTCCTTCCCTGGGGCTTCTGTATTGGCCATTCCTCACTTTACCCTCACTTCACTCTGACTCTTTTTTCATAACTCAGTTTAAATATCAACCCATAAGACCACCTTCTCTGACTTCTAAATCTTAGATATCCACATGCATCACCCACCCCTAAGGAACTCGGGTTTTTATATTACAATATGCAGTAATAAATTTATGTGATTTTAAAAAAAGTGTTATTACCCAACTAGTAAATAAACATCACAAGGAAAGGGCCCAGGTTACCTTGCTTTCACTCTATCATCAGCCAGTGGAACTGTAGACATGTTTTAGGTGCTTGGAAAATGCTTGCCGAGGGAGCAAATGAATGAATGTAACTGATAAAATGGCAAAAGTCTGAGTCTACAGAGTGGGGTTTCATGGGGTCTCTACTCAAATCAGAGTAGAAAACCATTGTTAGGGGTACTATAAAACAATTACTGCTTTTTGAAAGTGATTGGGATCGTTCATGAGGTTCCTACAAGCTGGTACCAGCCCTGGGCTCCAATCCCTACAAACCTTATTTTTAATATATGGGTGAAATAGAGTGAACAGATTTTTTAAATCTTTGATGAGGTCCTACTACTCGTTATACAAAATATCTTTGAACGTATTCATATGTCACCTTAAATATAATTTATATGTAACTTTTTAAGTGTTGAGTTGCTGTTGGTAGGTTGATCTAATGTTATATTTTTTAGGTATTTAATTAAACACACTTATTTTGGTTCTGAAGTTTTTGTTTCTGGTATTTTTGAGCTGATATATAATTTATTTCAGGTCTCAAATATTTTCGCTGGTTCCTGAAAAGGAGGTAAGGACATAGGCACTATGCCTTTGAAGTCTAATAGGTTGGAAAAAAAAAAGAGCTTTGCATATGGGCACTCTTATAGAAGAAAAGTTACTGGGAAAAGGTAAGTGAGGGTGTGTGTTTGCATATGTATGTGTGTACTGTGAAGGCCACTGGGGCCAGCCTTATAACTCCCCAACGAGCTAGCTCCAGGAGGTAAGCCACTGGGTAAGGTAATTATGGACTCACTTGTTTTAAAACACATGTAGTATTTAGTTTTGTCTTTAAGATGAAAAGACCATTATCTCCTACCTACTGCTCTGCATGATGGAAACAGAGTGAATGTGACATAGCCCTGCCCTCAGGTGGCTCACAGGTTGAGGAGGTAACACACAAAGGAAGTATAGAACACTTAAATTACACTCAGTGGTTTTATTTTCGGTAAATAATTATATATGCCATTTTACCATTTTCTTCATATTACAAATGAAAGAAAATAAGTAAAATTATAAATTACAGACCATTGCCAGGGGTGGAACTTCTGGAATGGTGGTGTGAAGAGCTTGATGAATATTCTCTCTCAAAAAATCATTGATTAAACTGGTCGAAATTATCCAAGACAACAATGTAGTCTCTGCAAATTGACCTAAGGGTGTGCAAGAAATTGAGCAGCATTCGTTCAACAAAATATACTGAAGCTCAGTAAGAACAGTGGAAGACTGTGGCATTTGAACTATGCGTGTATCAATCACCCCTAGGTCCATGTTGTGGAAGAACTATTCTGGGCAGGTTTGGCAGCCAGTGAAGAACCCCTCTCCCCTACCTTCCAATTGCTGAAGATCTATTTAGATAGGTGGGGCAGCCCCAGAAAACTGCTGCACTCATCCTCCTCACCCCCAGCTCTATTGTGAAAGAGCTTTACTGGATGGATAGCTGCAACTGTTCAATGATGCCCATCTCCACACCCCAAACCCCTGCTTTACTGGGAGACTCTGGGTAAAAACCCAAGAAGATCAGAGTTCCCTGTCCCCCAACTCCTGCTGATCAAGGTGGGGCTTGCAGCTCTGCTTGTGGATGCTTACTTTGTAGAACAGGTATAGACTATCCATGCCCCAGAGCATTGTCAGAAACAATAGATATCACAAGAGTTAACAGTAAGTGGAGATGGATAGCTTAGTGATACCAGTAGAGGCAGATGAGCAGAAGTTTAACAGAGAAACGGGTGCCAGACAGCCAAAGAGGACTCTGCTAAAATCACTGTCGGTACTGATGTCCAGAAGGCTGTAGAAAAGCTCAAGGCTGTGACCACACAGGAGTGATCACAGAGAAGGAACTTCCAAATTATCAGTCCCTGAGCTAAAGTCTGGCCAGTCCCTGGTGGGTCCCCAAGCTACACACAGACTCAGACTCAGCAGAAACAGATGAAAATGCTACTGGTTCAGGAGGCTTAAGACACAATCTCTGACCAGTCAGTGGCTGACCACTAAGCTTTGTTGACATAGGGACAATCACCAGGAAGCAAATTTAAAAATCAAACAAGGAAAGAATATCTAACTAGAGACATCAGAGCCTCAACTATATGGGGGAAATACATTTCATAGAATTAGTGCAGCCAAGTCACTAAACAAATGAACATATAAACAACCATAATAAAACAAAAAATCAACAACAAAAAGCCCAGGAGGGAGACTTCTGGTCAAGATGGCAGCATAGGTAAACGCAGTATCACCTCCTCCCACAACTACATCAAAATTACAACTAGACTACAGGACAACCATCATTCAGAACTATCCAAAATTGAGCTGAATGGAAGTCCTACAACTATATAAAATTAAGGAAGCCACATTGAGACTATTAGGAGGGGCGGAGGTGTGGACCAGCAGGTCCCACACCCACGTGTAGCAGATAAAAGTCAAGAGGAATATCTCTGCTGTGAAGATCCTCCCTGAGAAACAAGGGGTCTCCTTCACACACCAGATGCCCAGCTCAGGGTTCCAGCATCAGGAAGAGAAATCCTCATAACATCTGGCTGTAAAACCCAGAGGGAACTGAGACTGAGGGAGGTTGAGGCTTCTAGAGTCCCAGGAAGTTCCTCTTAAAGGGCCCACACAAGGACTTACTCCAACTCACTCCCCCCAGACTCCAGCATGGGGGAGGCAGCTTGAAAGATGCCAGAGACATACAGGAAAGAACTGAGTTGTTTGGCATCAGGGCAAGAGCTGAAGGAGCAGCTTTCTCTTAGACAAACTTGCTGGTAGAGGCCATTGTTTCTTTGGTGAACCCTTCCCCAATGGGGTCAGCAGATGGGTGCCATATCTGGGACTCTAGAAACCTGGCTTACCTTGTTTGCCCTGCCCTGGTGATTCCCTGAAGCCCTAACCCACCCAACTTTCAGGCCCACCCAAGCTGTTTCCAGTGGCTTTACCATAGAATTGGCTGGTCTTGGCTCCTGCTTTAGATTTTTCTAAATTCTCTCAACAAAACAAAACAAAACAGCAACTGGCCTCAGTGAGCCCCATACCTCTTGCTAAGTGGACTCAGGCCTTGGCACTCAGGCCGAGGCATAAGCCTTGGTTCACAGCTTGGCTTTGCCTTGGCACCTCCAAGCCCAGCACAAGATGCAGCCATCTGTAGATCGCTTTGTAGTATGCCTTGTGGCCCCAGGTAGAACACTGGCAGTGGCTGACATTGCCCCAGAGCCAGCACACCCAGAGAACAGCCTCAGATCATGTCAAAGCACCACCACCCAACCACTTCCACAAGCAACACACTCAAGGATTGTACTCAGTGGGTACCAGAGCCCTGCTGAAGTAAGTCTTCCTCTGTGTGGTGGGCCCCTGCACAGCTGATCCTTCAAGATAGTCAGAGGTCAGTGATCAGTGGGCATAGCCAGTCCTTGAAGCTGATCAACCCTAATAAATCCCTCCCATTGATGTGCCAACAGCAATCAATATCCAATTACAACAGAAGGGGGCACAGTCCACACGAGGGGTGCACCTCAAGGGCCCAGCTGGAAGCTGTGGCACTGAACCCTACAGGACACCTAC